ACAAGTGGAACTGTCGATGGCTTTCTCCCCATATGTATCACAAATATTTCTTGCTGCTTCGGCTGCTGTTGAGCGTCGATCGAACTCGTAGAGCATACAGTGTCGAATATGAATTTTTTGTTCATCCATTTAATTCGAAACAAGATAACAACAGAATAGAAGAGGATATGTTTATTTATATAACGATCAGAGTCTCACAAAATACAAAATACGCAATAGCGATATTATTACATAGTAAGCAGGAAAGATCAAGGTCAATATCGATGTTTGTTTGACCTTGAGAGAACAGAAATAAATGTATAGTAATGAGATGAAAGAAAACAGAAGAACGAAAGAAATACATACATAACGAAAAGAGAATATCTTTGTTGAAAAATAAATTTGTTATTAGACCAAAAAACAAAAACGTGCAGAACTTATGCGCCACGCTAATAAATTGATGATAAAATAGTCCTTACAAAACTTTATCGACTTTCATACTTTAGAAAGTTTTTCAGAAATTCTTTAGCAGTAAATAAAGCATATTATACATCTTTGTTTTAATAGAAACCATTACTTTGCATGGGTACAGACAAAACATTGAAAAAAATTCATTATCCAAAACTTAAACATATTGTTAAAGCTTAAAATTAATTTGAATCTGTAGAAAATTGTATGTTGTATCTTAAAATATGTTTTAGAAAAAAACAGGGAAAAGCGACTTTAAGATTTTGACTGTGAAACTTATAGTCACCTTTGTTCACTGTGTGGAAACTATTGCTTAGGCTAGATGATTTATTTTTTGAAATTAATGAAAAACTTGTCAAGTGCTTCGGTCGTAAAGTGAATCAAAAAATAAATTACCAAAGCTTATTTGAAAGAGTGATCAAAAAATACTTTCAGTTTCTATAATTGGGGAAATAGATGCTCTTGATGTAAGAGATATGTGTGAAGAGGACAGAAGGTGTAGCAACTTTTTTTGATGATATTTGGTTCAAACTTTACTTTTCCAATATAAAAAACAAACTGAATTCTCTATGATATTTCTGAGTGAAAAACCATGAATTGAGATTTCGACAATTATTTTTCAATGTTTTCTTGTTGTTGCTGACATTTGATTTGAATTTGTAAGAGGTTAATATCCGTTGATTTCAAATAATGAGATATTCTTTTAATAATATAATATTTGTCTACTAACAAGAAGACTTTTGAAAACTGACTTTTATGTGTTGTTTTTCTTTTCAAAACTCATGTTTCGGATAAGTTTTTCGTTTTAGTTTTAAAAAAAACAACAACAATTTTTCTCTTGATTTCATATGTGAAAATGATATCCAAGAGATTTTTAAGATTAATACATCAAAATTCTAAAATATTTCAATTGAACAAGACCTCTATTTAACTGATGATAATTTGGTGTAACTAAAAAGACATCGTACTTCTTAATAAAAAAAACAACTACCAAATGCTAAAAAGTATTTTACTATGCTCCTAAGTAGTACACGTTTTTTACTCTCAAATACAAAAAAAGGTGATAAAAGTAAATCATTAGATTCATATATTGAAGAATGTGAATTGAAATTTATTGTTCAAAAAGTTTTATTTGAAAAATTAAATTTTTTTTCTCGAGTCTATTATTATTAAGATGAGAAGCACTGTATTTACGTAATCCTTCACGAGCTTCAATTTTCTATACTTTTTATCTAACAAAAGATTTTCACTGATCATCATTTTCAGCATGGCCAACTATCGATCACTCTTACATGGGGAAGATTCGAACTTAAAAGTGAAGAAAGTTCAATCTACTATTAAAAAGACAACGATCGATAGCATTTGAAACGGCAGTGATTGTATTCTTGAGCAGCATTGAATGCTCTAAATGAACAATTCTTATATCGAAAGTGTATTTGTATGTCACTTTGTTCCATCGTCAAATGCTAAACTATCAGTTCTGCTAAAAGAAATTCTGTAACGACCGGGATTTTCTGAATAGATCAACTTGAGTTAAAGGCAACTGATAACAGATGTAAACAGTTTCTGTCCTAAAAATAAAAGTTTCCAAAAAAATTGCTTTTACCATTGACGAGAAATATATTTTACAATGTATAAAACACCTAAAATTCTGTAAAACTTGGCCGTGCCGATATGTAATGATGTATATCGAATGAATATTCATTTTAGTTGATACTAGTCGAATCTTAGTTATCTGTTAAACCGATAGATTTTCGTTTTTAAAATATATATCAGCAAGAATGTATCATCTTCATGGTTAAAATCTAGTTACTAGAGATGGCAGCCAATCAGCTGATAAGAGAACTTCTTCAGCTGTCCACTTCCGATTTCAATGATTTTTTGCTCATAGATACTATGTAGTGTTTTCATAAAACCTCGAAAAGAATTTGAGTTGGACTGAGCTATCGAGTTTTCTTTCTAGAGACTCTAGGTTTTCGGAAAACTCTTATTTTTGATATTTGATCTGAAACTTTGAGCATTGAGAGAACTCAGCTAGATTGGCTTCCATAAAAAAAAGACTGACAAATTTTGAACAATGTCTCTTCGATATATAAAGCATTTAAAAAGTGCATGTTATACACACTATCCACGGAAAAGGATCTATATCGTGAAAGTCTCATACCTCGAAGAGATATTATTCAAAACTTGTGAATTTTTTTTATGTACGCTAGTCTAGTTGATTTTTTTTATATGCGCAAAGTTTCAGATTGAAATTCGGAAATATGAGTTTTCCAAAAACCCGAAGCTACTAGAAAAAAATTTGATAGCTTAATGAAACTCAAACCATTTTAGGATTTTTATGAGAACTCTATGTAGTATGTATAGGCAAAACAATCGTTGAAATTGGAAGGGAGCAGTTGAAAAGTTTACACTTCTACTATTAATTCAACAATTTTGACAAATATTTCAAAAATTATTCCTATACGAAACAATTAATCTTATTCAATTAGTTAATATAAAGATATAATGTATGATCAAATACAAATAATAATTATTTATGAATATTTAATTGCAATTTCAAGGAGTTAATAAATAACTATAGGAAGATTGTTTTTTAATTCTTTTTATTTACAATAGAATATAAAAATTGATGTATTGATATTATTCAAAATCCGAAATATAGATTTCAATAGTTTTTGAAATTATTACGACAGTATAATTGATTTTGATTCGACACGAAAAACTAATAATTCTTGCATGAAATAATAAATTAAAATAAAGAGACAATCATTATAAAAAATGTTTGATATTATAATGCAATGTGTTTGATTATATCTCAATACTATTTCGCATAATCGACAAAAAATAAAATATAATCATGACAGCAAAAACAACATATGATTAGACATACAATGAAGAGGTAAAAGAAAATGTCGCAAATAAATCATACTTATAATAACAGACACAAACATTTACATATGACAATCGATTTTTACAAATAGCACGAACGTAAAATTTACTATTCGATTGTTTTGAATCTAAAATAAATTCTTTTATCAGTCAATGTAAGTTCTATAATATTAAATATTTGTTGCTGAAATCATCAACATTTGATATTCAATATAAAGGAACTAAGCCGAACCCGATTCACCAGAACAAATATTATATAGGCAGATCAGATTAAATTGATAGCTCTAGTCAAATTTTTTGGTTTTTCATCGCTAATATACCTTCGAAATGTCTCCTATCAAATGTCATATGAGAGCTTTTCGCTATTAGTTAGTACTTTTATTAAACCTCATTCTCAAAATCTCTAGCAGGAAAAACTCGCTCTGTGATTATTCTTTGTATGTAAAATTCTCTTAACGATAATAACTATTGTTCATTTCAAAGATGCTGTGATACATACAGAAAACTTTGTTGTTTCTCGAAATCAATTTTCGCACAAAAAAAAATTGCACAATCACCCCGTTTCTTTTGTTTTGAAAAATATTGCACCATTGATTTTTACAAAAAAAAATGTATTTTTTGAGGTAGACACTCCACATATAGTCTACAAACTTCAGCTCTATCGGACTTATTATACAGCTGAGAAAGTGGAGCAATTTTCTTAAACTAAGAATAGCTTTTAAAATAAAATGACAAATAAATAATTGAAAAAGATAATTTTTATTAAAATGCAAAATCAAAAATAGAAATTTTAAATCTCTTATTTTCTTTAATACAAATAATTCCAAAAAAAAAAGTATTCGAATTCCAATTAATTCTTTTTTGATATTATGTAAGTATCAAAAATTAAGATTTTAATCTTTTGTGAATAACAAAAGAAAATTAATTTCTTATCATTGTTGTACAAATCGACCAATAGAAAAAAAAACCTACGGTTAGGTGTTCTGATATTTTTTGGACTATAATGTATATGGTTAAATAGAGCGTGACGAGTTGATCAAAATTAGGTGCATTTTGAATTTTTTATATTTTCTTTAAAATTTCAAAGCTGTTTTATTTAAGATTTATCAAAAATAAAAACTAAATCTAGGAAACTAATTTATAAATTAGTTTGCTAGATTCAGTTTTTTTTTCATTAAATCTCAAACAAACAGTTTTGAAATTTTAAACGAAATGTAAGTATTGAAAATGTACATAATAGTGAACATTTGTCACGCTCTATCTAACATATATATTAAGAAAAGAAAAAAAAAGTTTTGTCATATTTCTGATATCTTACGTCATTTTTTCTACTAAAACTTTCGATTTTTCTTTAGAAAAAAAAACCTAGTCTTTCTTGTAATCCGAATATTAATCATCTCCAAACGAATGAATGAACTCTCTTATTCATATCTTGTTTTTTTTGTTCCTACGATAAAACAAACCTTCGAGTTGTTTATGATAGAGGTCGTTATTTATCATTACCTAACTTTTGAATTATATGTCCAAGTATAATAAAGTCTAATTGGTTGATAAGTTTGACCGTTCGATCTGGCAGATAGGATTTGTTTGTCAACAAATGTATGAAGGGTGTCATACGTTTCTGATACAGAAATATCTTAATTATAATATTTAAGATTATTATGGATCTAGAAGTTGATGATGATGATCTTCGTTCATTATCTGAACGTATTTTACCTTTAACATCTACATCTTATACTAATAATACATCTCCTCGTAATAATAGTCGTACTCGTTTATTAAAACCACAAAAAAGTATTTCATATAACAATCAATTATATAATGAAGAAACATCTTTACCACTAACAGCAAATACAGGTGATATAATACAAATGAGTGATGGTACAAGAAAGAAATATAATGGTTCATCATGGCGTCGTATGTGTTCAAAACCAAATTGTACTTATTATACACAAAGTCAAGGTTTATGTAAACCACATTTAGCTGCATTAAAAAAACGTAAAATATTTAAAAATGATAATAATGATTTATCAATAACACAACAAATAACAACTGAACAAGAACAACCAAAAAAAGGTGATATTATTATTTTATCAAATGGTATACGAAAAAAATTCGATGGACGACAATATCGACGTATTTGTAATAAATCAAATTGTACTATAGTTGTACATGGAAGTGTTGAATATCAAAATGGGTTTAGTATTTTTTTTTTCTTGTTTAAATTTTTTTTTATTTTTATCAATATTATTTTCATTTAGTTTCTGTCCACAGCATTATCAAGAATTTCGTGGTAAAACTACTAGTCCATCTTTACCTTGTCCTGAAACTGAACAGCAATTTTTATCTGAACCTTCTTCAAATCTATTAATACAATCTATAAATTCATCATCATCATCATCATCATCATCATCACGTAAACGTCGTCGACTAAAATCTCCATCAATTACTAATCATTCTCAATCATCAATATTTGATACAATAAATAAAAATTCTATACCAAAACCTAATCGTCGTTTATCAATAGCTGTTATTCCAGCATCTGTTGATATAAATCATCCAAATAAAGGTGATATTATTGAAATGGAAAATGGTTCAAGAAAAAAATTTGATGGTGTTGTTTGGCGTACAATTTGTTCAATGCCAGGATGTTTAATAGCTGCACAACGAAATGAATTATGTCGAAAACATTTTATTAAACTTAATGGTAAACCAAATACAGCACCAACTATGGCTATGAATATTATTGGATCAGGAACAATGGTTATGCCAAGAACGAATAGTACTTCATCATTAGATGAAAAAATAGGTTAATTATCAATGAGATTTTCTTTTTTTTTTTTTCTAATGGATCATCGAAAATTTGGTAGATAAGATGTTTGTTCATTTTTTACTTCTGATAGAATTTTAGACTCTTCGAGTATATGAGGCAGACGAGGGAACAACTCGAAATAATACTTCATGTTTGAGACGACATGCCAGTCATTACGTAGAACAAATCGGACAAACGAGTTTTGACTTAAAACCTCTTCCATAGGTAGATTACAATCTCCTTAAAATTTCAGCTAAAAAGAGTAGTCTCTTCTTGAGATATCAAATCCACAAAAAAAAAACTAGGTTTTCCGTCCTTTTGTTAGAATATCATGGTTTTTTAGACGATTCTAATGACTTCAAAAGTTGTTGACAGGCAAAGTTTTAAGCTAAAATTCATTTATCCGAGCTTTTCTTTGTCTCAACAGACCCTACCCTAATGATTGGAATCTCATCTCAAACACGAGGATGATTCCTTCGTTAGAAATTCTATCTTAGCTTTTGTTCGAATGCAGTGAAATAAATCTTAAAGAACGTAAAATTCTGAATAAAATGACGGGTCGCTGCGGTTTTTACGATCTTCCTTTAAGAAGTTACAGGCATCACAAAACACATTTTTTCGTTCTTTGTGATATCTGTAGCTTCCCAAGAGAAGGTCATAAAAACTGTAGCAACTCCTCATTTTATTCAGAATTTTACGCTCTTTAAATTTGCATTATCAAAAAAAACAATTTCTACAAAGTCTTCAAAGACCTGAAATATACAGTTTTCAGTATTTTAGAAACCTTGCCATCATAATCTATCAATGAAATTCTGGAATATAATGTCTTAAATAGAGCTCTTCATTGGCTATTCAAATCATTTTAAGCAAAATAATTTATAAAAAAAAAAAAAAGTGTTCTAAACTTTTGTTCGTCATTACATCAAACAGATTTTCAATTAAGATAATCTATTAGTTTCAATTTGTGTACAATCATTCTCATAATTCGAAATATTAATAATATCAAAATATCAAAACTTTATTCTAGAACTTCATGATTCACAAAAGAAGGAAACAATTTCAAATATAAAAGAAGAATCAGTAGATTATGATGATAATCAACAAGAAGAAACAAATATTGATAATATATCATACAGTTATAGTGCTTCAGGTTAATTTTGTTTTTTTTTTTGTATTTTTTATTATACATATATATGATGTTTAGATGATGATACACAAAATAAACAAGAACAATCATCATCTCTAATAGATGAAGATAATTTAGGTGCACAAATAGATCATACATTAATCAATGCACTTTCAGCTAGTCGAGAAAAATTTCCAACAAGTATAAAATATTCTTTTATTAACAAAAAAAAAAAAAACATTTATTTTATTTTTTTTCATTTAGCTTATTTAAAAAAATGGCTTCGAGAACATCGTACTCATCCATATCCAAGTAATCAAGAAAAATTACAATTAGCTAAACAATCATCAATAACATATGATCAAGTAACAACATGGTTTAATAATGCACGAGCTATACTTCGACGTCGTCAAGCTAAATTACGACATTCATTTGATACTGTTGATGATGATAATAATAATAATAATAATAATAATAACGATGATGACGATAATGAACAATTATCATATGAAAATAAAAAACGTTCTGAATCTTCAAGAGGTAAAAATCAGAAAAAAAAATCAATAAAAAAAAACCCAAAATATCAATTTTAGGTCTTCTTCCTCCTCCTCCTTCTCGATCATTACCTTTATTTAATGGTATATGTTGTCGTTCAATAGGTATACAATGTAATCCTTCAACAGTCGATCAAACAACATTAACATCAACAAAAATATCTGTTATGACAGATGATGAATTAACATCAGATCGTACAATAAGAATTTTAACACCATCAAGTCGAGTATTTAAAACAAATTATCTTAAAAGAAATAGTAGTCATGAATTTTTATTAAATGGAATTAAAATTGAAGATGAAAATGAACGAGAAAAAAAAATTATTGTTACAAGTACTTGTCTTGATGATGATCAAATGGTAAGAGAACACAATAGAAAATTTCATATGTCCATAAAAGACTTGAACAAATACGTGTAAGAACTTGTCGAATCTAGATGTGGATTCGAAAAGTTTGAACTTCACGAACTCTAGTATGAGTATACACACAGTATGATTCACTTAGTTTTTCTTATAATTTCAAACAATGTTTTAGTTATTCAAGAGTTTCAATTTTCTGTTTATTCAGTCGTTGTACATACGTAGGTCTGACCAAAAGTTCTAAGAACATTAAATAGTAATGGAAAAATAATGAGATATTTTCAATTTTATTTTATCAAATCCTGAGCATAGTTACCATGATTATTTATATCCGGGTCAATCCGTTCTAACAATTTATAAAAAGTTTCTTTGACCTCTTTTTCTAAAAAAATTTTAGCTACCTTGGATACCACATGAGCTAATTATATTTCGTTTGTTTCAAAAAATTTAATGGAATTTTGTTCGATCATGTCAGTTGCATTCTAGCATTACTAGTGATGTGATATCGATTTATTTTAGATAGGTTAGTCATAAGTCTTCTAATGCTAACTGACTTATTGAAGATGAATTGTCAAAGATTGTTGTTCATGAAAACAGATTTTAACCAAAACTTTGTTTAGTATATTCTTTAAATCAAATAAACCTGAGCGTAGATAAAGTCAAGACTGTAGATTACAATTATTATATTGAAAATTGTCCGAAGCCTTTTGTTAATGAAATATGGAAAAAAAATGGACATTAGATTCAAAATGCACAAAATTGCTTGACGATCGTCGTTTACTTCATAATCATCCAATGTCATTAATTCTCTGACAGAAAAAGACATCAATATAATGTCATACCCAACATATTCGCCAGGTCTGATACTATATAATTTTTGGCTAACTAATTCTATCGAATGTAGTTTAAATGATTAAATAAATGAAACATGATTAGCTCATATGGTATCCAAGGTAGCTAAAAATTTTTTAGAAAAAGAGGTCAAAAAACCTTTTAATAAATTGTCAGAACGGATTGACCCGGACATAAATAATCAAGGCAACTATGCTCAGCATTTGATAAAATAAAATTGAAAATATCTCATTATTTTTCCATTACTATTTAATGTTCTTAGGACTTTTGGTCAGACCTACGTAAAAATAAAATATGTTGTCACATGTGTCGCACTTTGTGCTACAATGTAGAATGTATTAAAGTGCAACATATGGTGCTCGTTGCAACGTATTTTGAAAATGTGATTCGAATTTAGTTTTTAGTGCATTTTTCATTTTCTTTTTCTGCAGAAATGAATAATTTCTATTTTTGCTTTTTTGTCAGTTTAATTTGAATTAGTGATATCTATTCTTAAAGCTCAATGCTGTTAGATTTAACTGTCTCGACTTCGTTTGATCTTGATGATAAGATCACTTTAGGGCAGTTCTTTCTCGATGTCTCAACATGTTCTCTACCAATAACTAATTGAGACAAAAAAAAACTATGTATGTTAAATTGAGTTGGTTTATAAAACAGTGAATGAGTAATTAGCCGATATATTACGACATATTTTAGTATGTACTCCTAGACTGAATAGTACAATGGGGCTGTGTGTTTGGTGATTTGAGAATTCATTCCTAGGGTTTAACATAGTTTTTGATTCATCCAAAATGAAGAAATGAAATATCAAGTTCTAGACCATAAATCCAGATGAGTGCTGTGCAATGATTTGAAATGAAGTTTGATGAGTACACCATTGTACGTCTTCGAGATGCTATACGACTTGTTATAGAATGTTTATACGAATTCTATAGAAAAGTCACAGAGTCATGTGACATATTGAACAAGTTAAAATTACATGATGATAGAAAATCAATGTCAAAAAATATAAATAATATCATCTTTGTAGAAGATATCAATTTTTCTTGAATAATCGCGAAGGCTAAAAAAAATCATAAATATATAGTTTTGTTTTCAGTTAGTATTAGACACTTATGTTAAAGCTTTTTATCCATACGTATAACGTAAACAAATATTTTTAACCTCAATAAAGCATTTTCACTTGTCATCTAAGAAGACATCAAAACAAACTTTATGAATGAGACTGCTGATCTACTTATCGAAGACCGTATATGAATAATGTCTTGTTATAATATATAAACTAATTGATTTTACAGGAAGAATGAACCTCTCTATATTTTATTTAATATCCATTTTTTCAGATCTTACAAGGCATGCGTGTCAAACATGAAGAATTTTGTAAAAGAAATTTTTATCCAATTATTTTAACCATATCACACAGTTTTTATGTAACACATTTCAGCAGACGGTAAGTGTGAAGCTTCATTTTCATGAAGTCAACTCTCTCTCTCTTTCATCGACACTACATTGAAATACATTGAACTATTCAGGCATCAATTATGTTAAAAGAACTTGTCATATAAAAATTTTGTGATGTGGTTAAAATAATTTAATGGAAATTTCTATTACAAAATTGTTCATGTTTGACGTGCGTGTCTTGTAAAGTCTGAAAAAATGGATATTAAATAAAATATCACAGAAAGATTTATTCTTCCTGAAACATCCGTTACTTCCGTAATTGCATTTTTCGATGTTTAAGTAAAAAGGTATGGTGAAAAAATATGTCTTAAAATAATCTTCTTATGATTATATTGTGTGTTATTAACTTGAAAACATTTCAAGAAAACTCAAAATTTGATTTTTATAATCATAGTTACACTAAACTTATGAAAATGTTCTTTTTTTTATTTTTAGACTCATTTAAAAGAATTTTGTTCAAAATTTCAAATTGAATTATCAAATATTGTTGATGAACATACAACACATTTAATAACTGATGAAGAAGGTGAAACACTTGTATGTCCATTATCAAAAAAAGTTATACAATCTGTTGCACGTCATATGTATATTGTAACATATCGTTGGATTGATGCTTGTTTAAAAGCAAATCGAATATTAAATGAAAAATTATTTGAAATTCAAGGAGATTTAACACTTTCATCAGATCATAATGGTTTGTTTGTTGTTTTTTGTTAAATTTATTTTTCTTCTTTTTCTTTAAAAGGTATGCAACGAAGTCGTCAAAGTATATTACCAGATAATTTACCAAAAAATTTATTACTTGAAAATTTTTCTATTATGTTAAAATGTAATGGATGTCAAGAAATGATGAATAATGATGAATTAATTGAATTAGTTCAATTATCAGGTGCTAAACATACAACTGATTCACATTTTTCACGTTTACAAACAGGGATAACACGTATTGTTCTTTGTGAAAAAGAATATTTAATTAATCGACGTGAAATGTATGAAAAATGTATTCATGCTGGTATTCATTTTCTTACTCCTGAATGGTAAAACAGAAAGAATCACAATGAAGAAGAAAAAAAAAAAGATTTATTTTTCTTTTTTTTTTTTTAATAGGTTTCTTGAATCACTTGTTCAATATCGTATTCAACCGTTTCAAGAATATCAAATAACACCTTAAAACAAAAACAAAAGACACTGCGATAAATTTCTTTTTTTTTTGCTTTTTCTTTTTTCTTTTCGTTTTTTTTTTTTTTTGGTTTGTTGTCAGATTAAACACAAAACGCAATTCGTCGTGTATTCTCTTTAAATGAAAAAAAAAACAAAACAAATTATAACAATATAGAATTGTATATATTTTTCCGATGATAAATAATCGAATGTATTTGACAGACAAAACAATTGAATACCTTATGCAAAAATAACTAAATAGAGAATGTTAAATAACAGAAATTTTATTTGGTTTTTTTCTAGTTTTGTATAAAAGAAAAAAATGAATTACTTCAGATGGATGATAAATAGTAAGAACTTAGAAGCAGAAATACAATCGTGGGTTTTGACTGGAAATAGTCATAATTGAAAAGTGCTATTCATTGAATACAATCATGACAAATGTAAAATTGGTGCTGGTCTATTATGCTTGCTTTCTTGCTTTTATTATATTAATTTTTTCAAAACTTCTATTGATCTTAAAGTTATCACATCGTTTACTGTGAAAATACGATCTGAAAAGAGTATTGAAGTATAGAGATAGAAAGACAAATATAAGTTTTCTTCCATTTAATGGTGTATACATTATTGAGTTCTACTGGGTACAGTTGACATGCCAGTAGATGGCGCCATCTATAACAATGTTGATGGTACCCAGTAGAACCTGATAATGCATACGGCATTAGATAGAGGAAGTTTTTTTTGTCTACAATACTACATGTATTGCATTCTGCTGTCAAACCTTGGTGTTATCTTTGGACCCACCCTTCCCTGGACAGATGTCTTGACAAAACTGTCACTTCTTTGCTTCACAGGTTATGACAGACGTTGTTGACAAACGATCAAAGACTGTTTATCAATAACATCTTGTTACAATATATGAATTACTTTCTTATTACATTTCTGGATGGTTAAGTAAAATGATGGTGAAGTAATGTGTCACGAAATGATCTTCCTGTAATTAGTAACAGCAGCTCGATTATGTTTCATATGTTAATCTCGAAGGAATTGATCTGTAGTGGTTATATCATGAAATTTTGTTGACAATTGACAATATTAGATTCGGGAGTCCAACGCTAGAATTATTTATCCAGGACTCTGTACTTAAATCTTTTACTTTATGAATTGAACTTTAGTTCGAATAGATTCTAGATGATCAAAAGAATTCAATTCTCCACAAAAGAAGATTAGATTATGTGAACGCCTCTCATGTATGAAAAGCTTGGTTGCGAAAACCAAAATTTGAATTCATACAGTTTATATCCAAGTTTTTTTTTTTGCATTGGTGAATTTCTCGTTTGCTATTGATTTTGAAAATTTTATAATAAGATAAATCGATAATACAAAACAAGACAAATCTAATTATCAGCATATATTTATAACATATAAAAGTTATTGGCTTTAATCGATCTGAATGATAATGTTTGAAGTTTTAGTTCCATTATCGTATTCGACAATAAAAATGTCAAGTTCAATTAAAGTTTTTTCATTTGTTGATGACTATTAGAAAAAAAAGCAATTTTTTATGTCAAGTACTTGCAGATTTTATATTTAAGAGTCTGACAATCGAATAGACCTTTCTTTTTTTTTGATATAAAACAAAGTAAATTCTCGATAAACATATGTCAATATAGAACATATGTTTTAATCGAATAATAGTATTTAGAATTTATTAAAAATCTTTTTTCAATAACAAAAAATATCAAATTTTGAATTTTTCTCTTATTTAATTTATTATATTGATTGGGTTTTTTTTTTCTATTTGATTACGAATGGAATCAAGTTATTAATAAGATATAAATGAATATTGCATAGATTAACTGAACTTTTTAAAGATAAATAAGAACTCTCAAGAGAAATATTCATTGCACGTTCATATTTTTTTTTTTGATTAAATCTAAACATAAAGAAATTATATATTAGTTCTAATAGATATTTATAAATAATAAAAAAATAAAACTTATTTTTATTCTTGTCCTAGATTTAAAATTAATGAATATTCATTGACATTGACATTGACATTTTATGAATATCGTCTGTCAAATAAATTAAACATATTTCCATCTTCTATTTAGTCTCTATTTATTATTTTTTTTTGTTTAGATATATTCACCTAATAGTTCTTAATTACATTGAAATCGTGCATGTATGTATGTACATTATCAACAACAACAACAACAAAAAAAAGCAACAAATATGTTTATTTTAAAGTTTTGGATTTTGTTTTTCTGTTTTTTTATGTTGATCGCACTGATGTCAAGCAGTGGCATTGTAATTATTCAGACAAATACATTCTCATTATTGTTTCCGGACGAAAAGAAAAATTGTTCTGTAAAGTTCTATGAAATTGTTACACGTATGAACACTCGATGTTTTTTTTTTCTTTCGGGTTTTTTTTTTGCTTAGTCGCATCTTATATCTGTTCTTTGAAGCTTTTTATTATTTTTCATCTTTCTTTTGTGTAGTTCGGAAATATAATGCTGTTGGTAGTGTGTGCGTGCGTGCGTGCGTGCGTACGTATACTGAGAAAAAAGGCGAAGGAGAGAAACTAACACAGATAGTCGGAGATGCGACAGACAGTGAAAGAGAGAGAGAAGGAGAAAAAAAAAGAAAAAAAAAGAAAAGAACATAACAAAAAAAAAATATATATTGACCTCATTCTTCTTCTCTAGTACTCCTAGTGCAGTATAAGCAAACTTTATGGCCATATATTCGATAGATCTATTGTATTTCTAAACAAGACTATGTATTAAAAATAATTCAATATCGAACAATAACAAAAACTAATATGAATTGATCTTAAACAGGCTTTTAAAAAGAAAAAAAAGGTTAGTTAGTTTTTGTTTTATTTTTTTCTTTTTTGTTATCTATTCTATCAAAGAAAGAAAAAAAATAATGAAAGAAAATTGAACTTGAGCATTTTGCGTTTTACTCTTTCACATCATAAAACTATTCTGTAAGTTCAAGGATATCATTAGTGCGTATGAAAAAAAATATATAACAAAGAAAAATAAAACATACATGTAATATATACTTCATGACAAGGGTAATATAATAGATACATACATATGTATATGATCTAGATAGATGAAACATTCATTGTTATGGTTAAATCGCTTTTTTTTTCCTGTGTATGTAAGAGAATAATAAGAAAAAGATGTTTTTGTTTTTGAAAAACTCACGTAAGATAAATTTTTGTTATGTATTTTGGTTTTAATCAATGAAAAAGAATTTCGTTATCTATTGAATGAACAACGATATGGTTTTTTTTATATTCTTGACTAGAATGCTTCTGTAAATGAAGTACTTAATTACTATAACGAGGTGTTTATGTTTTTTCCACGTGTCGTAAAATATTTTTTCACTCTTTGTAATCTGTTTAATATATGCGTACGTTTCTTTTTTTGTTTATCACAGCAATGCTAACATATGTGCATAGAGTAAATATATTAGAATATAACGAGATTACAACGTTTACTTTATCAGGTTTTTTTTATTTTTGGCTAAATGAAATATATTATTTTATCATGATTTTGTTTTTCTTCGAGCAGATATTAACATATGAATTCATATTTTTTTAATCTATTTAAAAGGAAATGTCTTTCAGAAAAATATTTAATTATTCCCATTTCAACGAAATACTTTCAATAGCAACAGAAAAAAAAAAGAAATGAATTAAATTCTGTGCATGATTTGTTTATTTAACATGACATTCTTATTGTCTTGTTAGTTAGTTTACTCATATAAAGTAAATGACTAAGAAGCCAAATGAATTAATGTTTAATTATGTAAGAGTGTAGGTGTGTTTTATAGTCATAGATGTCTTTTTATACCATATCTGATGTTCTCTCTTACATCGTTTTATGTTATTATTGCGTTGCTATCGATGTCGAACAATAGTGATGTAAAAAACTGAGGAAAATATTTGATGGATTGTTCTCATTTAAACCACATTAAAAAGAAAGGAAAAGGCTCCAGTCATTTTCTTTTCTTTTAGATTTCTTTTTTTTTCTTCTCGATCTGCCGCCTTTTCATGAATAGCGTATAGACACGTACACTTGAAAATTTCATATGCACACACATGTCCTCTCCCATATGACAAAAGTAACTGTATTTATTTTTTTCGTTCGCTTTTTTTTTGTTTTTAAATAAAATTCTTATTCTGCGCTGTTCACAACCGTTCGACAGTTAGCTATAATTAAACGATAGATGAGTGTTGTGTTGACATCATAAATGTTTGTTTCATACAGTTCATGATGATTGTGTTTTTAACTTTAGATGTTTAGCGAAAAACCATTATCATCAATTCTTTCTTCTATCCCACCGGAAATATTCATTCCAAATTCGCCAACTTCATCAACATCTGCATCACCATTATCATCCGCAGCTCATTCACGCACATCTACAATAACATCAAATAGTTGTTTACGAACAGGTGGATCATCTTCAAATCAATTCAATCGACAAATGAAAATAGGAAAATATTTTCTTGAAAGAACAGTTGGTAAAGGAAGTTTTGCTGTTGTTAAATTGGCAACACATTGTGATACACATCAAAAGGTATAAAAAAGAAAAACATGAGAAAAAGAAAACAAAAAAAAAAATTATTTGTTTTATTTTTTAGGTAGCAATTAAAATAATAGATAAATCACGTTTAAATCCAAATGATCATAAAAAACTTGAACGTGAAATAGTTGTTATGAAATCATTAATACATCCATATATTATCCGTCTTTATGAAGTACGTTAGGAAGAAGAAAAAAAAAGAAAGTGAAATGTTTTTTTGAATTCTTTTTTTTGTTTTGTTTTCTAAAGGTAATGGAATCAAAGAATCTCATTTATTTAGTGACAGAGTATGCAGCTAATGGTGAACTTTTAGGTTAGTTTGTCCATTTTGACATAAACAAAGAATTGTTGTTGTTATTTGTTTTTGTTTTGTAGATTTACTAATTCGCGAGAAACGTTTAAGTG